TCTGTGCAGGGATGCACCTCTGTCTCCTCACTTTCCCAGGAGAAGCAGTGCCAAAAATACCCCTCAAACATATAAATTCTGCCCTACAAAATGACTGAATTCCTTTACAGAAATACTTATTATTTGATTCCGAGTTGCAGAGGTGACTTCATGTGCCATGATGCACTGCAGAAAGGGATCAGCGTGTGCTGGTGGAAGTGGCTCTCACCTGCCCTAGACCACCGTGTGCCAAGGAATGAGACATGAGGAGGTTGGAGCAAACCTGAGAATTTAAACTCTAATACAGCATTAATGAGCTTTCTCAAAAGTGGCTTTTGGCTTCTGGAAATCTCCTGTAAGAGAACTGAGCAGCTGCTGCAGAGGTGAGGGAAAAGCAGCACTGACTTGGCTGCAGTTGATGGTGCACTAAAGCCACCCGTTATGGACAGTGTATTTGAGAAAATAGTTCAGAATTTGGTTGAAAAACACTTCTGTGCTTTTCAAGCCACAGGCCCTCCAGAGGAGGCCACAGAGATGCTGCAAGGGCTGGAACAGCTCTGCTCTGAGACAGGCTGAGAGAGCTGGGCTGGTTCAGCCTGGAGAAGAGAAGGCTCTGGTGAGACCTTAGAGCAGCTGCCAGTGCATAAAGGGGCTACAAGAAACCTGGACAGGGGCTTTGGACAATGGCCTGTAGGGAAAGGACAAGGTGGAATGGCTTTAACCTGACAGAGGGGGGATTGAGATGGGATCTTAGGCACAAATTCTTCCCTGTGAGGGTGCTGAGGCGCTAGCACAGGTGCCCAGAGAAGCTGTGGCTGCCCCATCCCTGGCAGTGTTCAAGGCCAGGTTGGATGGGGGTTGGAGCACCCTGCTCTAGTGGAAGGTGTCCCTGCCTGTGGCAGGGGGTTGGAACTGGGTGAGCTTTAAGGTCCCCTCCAACCCAAACCAGCCTGGGATTCTATGAATTGTTTTGCTAACCATTTGCTAGGACACAAGTGAAAATCTCCACAGAATTCCAGAGGCTTTCAGGTCATCAACCCTGAATGCTCAGGGGTGCTGGGGTGCAAGGCAGCTAGAATGGCTGGGTAATTGAATTAGTAACTGGGCCTTTGTTAATTACACCTGTACAGAGGCTGAGTGTGGCTGAGACATAACTCCAAAGTTTGACTTATGGGAACAGTGGACAGAGACTGTCAGTAGGGGTGTACAAATAGGTCCTTCGCAACAGGGTCTGACCCTCGTAAGGTGATCTTGAAGGTACGGGTATCTAGGACCAAGGTGACTGAGCAAAGGCCAGGTGCTGCAGATGGACACCAAAAAAGCCCTACTCATCGTGTCGGAGCAGGCAAAAGAAAGGGTCAGCTTCTCTCATCTCTGAAAGCAGCTCTTTTGGGTCAGGAGTACCTGCCTTTCCTGCAGTGGATTTGCTGGAGCTGAAACGTGAACCACCCTATAAATTGCTTGAACCTGAATTAAGGTGTTGCTAGGGAGGACTTTTAGGAACTCACCAACTTCAGCAGAGAGGAGAAAGCTGCCGCATAGCTTGTGCAAGGAGTGCAGGAGAGTCACAGCCCCATGCTCTCCATCCCTCACGTTCAGTGCCACACTGGTCCCAGATGCTCTCATGACCCCGTTTCCAGTTCATGTGTATTTGTGAGCCACCTTACACATTGATTTTAATGTTTTCCTGAACGCACTAAACCCATGGCTACTCCTGATGCTACCAATTCTGCTGTGCTAATGCTCAGCAGCTCCCTTGCGCAACACCACCCCCCACAGGGAAGATGTTGTGGGGTTGTGCAGGGACTGGTGCATCTCCCTCTCATGCCAAGGGAGGAGGAGGCACAAGCTGACCCAGAGGAAACTCCACCTGCACGCAGTGGGGGGAGACCAGCGACACAAACAGTGCCCAATTTCCTTTCTCCCCCCACGTGTGCTTTTAAAGCTTTTTATTTATCCTCCTCTTGACGGGAAAGCGGGTCAGCACAGGGCACAGCATGTCACATCCACCCCAGCAGATGTTGCTTGAGCAGCCACTTCGGCAGAAAGCACTTCCCTGCTGCTGGTGGGATTCCTTCTGAAGTTCAAGGGACGCTTCTCCCCCCTTCCCCTGTGCTGAATGTGTGCTGCATGCTGGCAGAGCATCGGGACATCCAGCAGTGATTCAGACGTGGTTTCAAAGCGCATCACATACCACAGCAATCTGTCATTCCCGCGTAACAGGGCAACATTACACACGACAGGGAGCATCTGACCAGGGGCTCTCTTCGGACTGACAAGCAATGGGAGTGATTCAGCAGCAGGAAACACCCAGACAAAAGGCTCTCCCTACTGCAAGGCTGATGATTTCCCCAGCCCTAGAAACAGCTTTAGCACGGATCTGAGGGTGTACTGGCACCCACCAACACAACACCCCCATTCCCTTTGGTACCCTTGGTGGAGGAAAAGCTTTTATCCATACACTGCTCCACGGCAGGTCCAAGCTGTACCAGAAGTACCAGGTATCACTGTGCAGGGAAGGGGTGGGAGGATGCTCTGCTGGCAGCAGCGAGCCCTCAGCTGAACTCATCTGCCTGGAACTGCACCACGCATTGTGAAACCCCGTTTTACTAAAACATAAAGCAGCTCGCTCCACGTTCGTCAGCCCCTGCCGGGTGATTCAAAGGAAGCGTAAGACCGTGACTAAGAAAACGTGGTCAAAAGATGGAACAGACTGCCACTCTGCGCAGGAGAAAGGTCAGCTCCAGCGGGGGGGACTCCCCCTTCCCAGCAGCACAACTGCAAGCATCCGTAACGCTCTCACCGAGCGGAGACCTGGCCCAGGGATTTGGGATGCTCCGAGTGCAGGAGCAGCACTACGCGCTCCAGGGGACGTGTAAATGGGAACAGCAACTCAGCCCTAGATGGGATGTTACTGGTCATTAAGTTAAAATAATTACTGCTGCAGTGCTGCTCTGTCCTGGACAGTGAAAACATATGGATTTAGAAATAAACCCAGGTATTTGTAAAAGCCTTCCTAAGCTGCCTGGTGTACTGCTCTTAGCTGCCTTCCCCTGCAGGCAGGTGCAGCAGGGAGGGCTCATTTCTTCTGTGTATTGCTCCATGTGATTGCACAGAAGTTGTCAAACTGCTTCTGAGAGCAAAACAGAAAAGCATTTTGCTTCCCTACATTTGTACAGACCATAATTGAGTACAGAATTGAATACATGGCTATTTCTGCACACACACAAAATGCCCCAAACCAATGTGGGAAGCTCAATGCACATCCTCCAACACAAGGTTAAAAACCAATCCGATCACAAATCTAACTGCATTGATTTACCACACAATATGACAGATGTACTATGTAGCGTTTGCCCAGGGGCTTTTAAAGCCAATAGGTAACTTGAGAGTTAACCTTCCTGAACAGCAAACCTAGTGATTCACTGCTGGCCTTGGAAATGAGAAATGGACTTTAGAAACACTTCATGAAGACCCATCAGTGCAATCCAACCTTCATGGAACAGCAAATGACTGGCTGTTCCTGTAAAAGAAATGAGATGTAGCTCAGACAGCACACAAACACTTGCTCTGGGGATCTACCTCTGAGGGTTTTTGTTAGGCTGACAGGACTATTACAGTAGCTCCCACTTCAAAAGAATTTGGGGGTAAAACAGGCTTACCACTTAAATCCCAACCTGTGCTGGCTTTGGTGGCACTTTATAACCAGGTGCCACCACAGCAGCTCATGCAACCATGTTTTAAACTCTCTGATGAAAGGATGACTGCAGGGACAGGCTCCTGATCATTCACCCTCCAGTGCAAGATCTTGTAAGTCATATGAAAACCTTCAGCTCAGTAGTACATAACAGAACTAAACCAGGACACTTGTGAGGTAGTACTCTGACAGATGTCAGTATTTCGTTAAGACATAAACCCACAGTTCCTAAGCCTGTGGAATAACATATGCCATACCGGTCCTTCCACCACCCTCCAAAAGATCAAAGTTACTGAAAACTTCCATACAAAGATCTACCTTGAGCTGAAAACCACAGCAAGATGAGATGAGGGGGACCGCCCTTATTAGAAATGGTGCAGAGATACATGGAGAGCAACTGTCTGCTTCATTTCTGCACAGAAACAGAGGAAATCATCAAGAAAAGGTCAGGAGGCTGCAGCTCCACAGGGTCCTGAAACTGCTCTTAGTCCATGAAAAAAAATGTATGGAAGTTACCATACAGGAAAAGCTGAGAACAGTGGTGGATGTAGCCTAGAATCTCACTGCTCCTTTTTTCTAGGTCCTCCATGCATGGTGACCATTGAGCTATGATACAAGGCTGAGGCAAGTTCTTGTCTGATGGTACTTTCAAATCTTGCACAGATTTTTCTTTTAAGTGTTTAAGTTCATGAATCCAAGTAGGCAAAGTTGCACTAACACCGGTAGAAGAGCATCATTTGAGAATTACATAGCATTTTAGCTGCATATGCAGTTAAAGATGTACTCTTCAGAAGGAAGACCGTCAGTGAATCAAGAATCACAGGTAGAATGGTTTGAGTTGGAAAGGACCTTAAAGCTCATCCAGTTCCGACCCCCTGGCAGGGGCAGGGACACCTCCACTACACCAGCCTTGAAAACTGCCAGGGATGGGGCATAAGAAATAAGAAAAAACAAAGTCTAAATGTTATTTCACTGGATTCTCTAAGTGTATGCTCATTTACTGCCACTGAAGCTCTCTTCTTTTTAAAGGTCTATAGGAGATAAAGTGCTCACAGCTCACCCACCTCAAGGCTCAACAGCATCACCAAGAGTTTGTTACAAGCCTTGCTCCATGTGTACAGTGCTGCTGAATGATGCTTCTTGCTCCTGCACAGAGACTTCTGTACACACTGGGTTTACATACCTGAAGCTCTTACATTTAGAGAGCAACTAGCCAGTGACACAGGGTGAATTTTACTTCTGGGTTTTAAACATTATTGTAGCATACATAGCTTAAGTGTTCTTGTGTGTTTTCAACCCATAACTCACACTTGGCAAAAGTAAGTAGGAAAAGAAAAAACAAACTTCATTTTATTTTTCACTTTTGAAAGCATTTTACACAGGTTTTGATCTTCAGAATACCTTGGAATCAGTAGAAAAAACTAACTGAACAGTTTGTTTTTACAATAGAAACCTTTCAGGAGTCAAAATGGAGCCTAAAAAAATACATGCAAAACATACTCCTTTCAAAACACAACTTGAAACAAAGCACCAAGCTACACAAATATGCAGAATGAAACAGCATTTAACACCACAGAAGTAGTCCTCACAAAAGGTGTAAAAGTCACCTATTCACTAGGCACTGTTCACTTGTTTAAATGGAAGAGACAATAAAAATATTGTCCACAAACTTGCAATTTCAACTCAAAGGCTGGAGCTAGAAATTCCTCTACATGTCATGCTTTAATAGCGACCTGGAAGAAAAGACAAAATACATACACTGTTAGACTTCCACGGATTGTCAGATGTTTAAGATTCCTCCTAAACTCATTGCCTCCCCTCAGATCTGCATCAAATTTAAACATCTTGTGATGTGTCGATGATCAATTCAAGCAGTCAGTACAGTTCTACCATTACGTTCCTTTGTGTAGGAAACTCCCAGTTCCTGTCATGTGCCCAGGGCCAATGTTCTGGAGCACAATGAGAATTCATACTCTAACTGCTCTGTGGTGGCCAGTTTCCCTATGGATCAGTAAAAGCAGTTACACTTGTTTTCATTTGGACACAAAGGGTAAACATGAGAACACGACCTATTCATTCACTCTGTATCCATTACAAAGGGACTATGCTAGGAATGCTACTGTGGTTTATTACATTTCTGCCATCAAAATGCAGCTTTATCTTCCATGCAAATAAGCAATTCAGGGGGAAAAAAAAAAGCCCTGTTTGGAGCTCAGATGAAGTTAACCTCCTCTTTAACAAGTTAGGTTGGGAAATTTCATGTTAGAATACGTGAGGCTTGGGGATTCAACCTTGCTCCCCTAGCAGTAACCAAACTGTCAACATACTACAAACTCCTGTTTTCCTGTTTCTGAGAAAGAAGTGGTACCTCAGACTTTTTAACAAGTAGTATTATCTAGTTTGGTTTATTTGCAAACTAAATATTTGCTCTGTCCTCAAGGTTGCCAGTTGCTCAATGGAACATTAAAGGGAACTGTGGTTCAAAAGAAAAAATAACCACACTGAAGTCAAATAGTCTGTATGGACACTAGAGCTCCAAAGAAGTTGTTCAGGCAAAGTGCAGGGAATCTGCTTTTGATATGCAAGCTCTGCAAGTACTTACGAGGTGAATAGGATCGAGATCTGGATCGAGATCTGTAGCCCCCTCGGCTGTAATATGGGGATGGTGACCTCCTCCTGTCAAAGAGAGTGACAGAAAAATCCCTTTGTTAAAGCCTGTGGCAGATGAGTTGCAGCAGCTTTGTGCTGATACCTCTAACCCCATCCTGGTATCAACAGTATACCTGGGAAAGCTACTGAGCACATAAATAACTGATCAATGTTTCTACTGGATAACAAAGCAAGCATTTGAATTTTCTTAATACTCTTTTTATTACCATTTCAGAGTACTATTACTTTGGACTAACAGAAGAAATACAAGCTTTCTCGCATTCACAATTTGACTAAATGCCGTATTAGTGCTTCAAGCCAGGAGCATCTCAAAACAAGCCAAATCACACTTCAGCTTTAAATCTAAATTAATTGCCCCAAGACAGAAGAGTTTCTTTGACTAGCAGTCACTGCTACAACCAACCTCACCCCAAATCCCTCAAATCCAGGCACTCTCTCAAGCTTTGTGTTTTCTTGCCTAGTTCTGCTTAATTCAGCACACTGACTTCTTGGCATAAATCACAAAGCTTTTCCTTTGCTAACCTGTGCCTGTACTAACCGGACCCCTCTACACAGCGACAAAGGAACCTCTGCAATGAATCACACTGCTCACTGAAGAGCTGCAAGTGCTCAGCATCCGCCCAGTTTCTGTTCATGTGTTTAAAGAATCAAGCCTATCTGAGGGTTGAGTCATAGAACACTCAGTAAATGCCATGCGCATTTCCCACGGATGACCAGACACTAAAAGCTTTCCTATTATACCTGTAAAACTGATCCCTGTCTTGAACAGCTCTCCATCCTCCGCCGCCACCGCCACCTCCTCTGTGAATACAAACGAAGAATGGCTTTTGAATTTTAGAAACAAACAAAAAGTTCATTGTACAAGGAAGAAGCATCATCAAGCATGAGAAAATAACAAAGACAAGAAAACATTGGTTCCTACACTGGATAATGCTGAATGACTTCATTTTGTATTCCTGGAAGGAGCTGGCTAAACTTGGTGGCAAGGAGCAGTCAAAGAGGACTCATGTTCCACCTCACCAATATTCTATTTCACAATGTCATATTCTCCAACGAGCAGCATTCAAGATTGGTACGTACCCTTCTAAGGCCACTTCTATTCCGAGATGCTTACCTGCTTGAAGCAAGCAAGTCTATTTTTTTTTTTTTTTAAGTAGCAAGATCAATTCACTGTCCTGAGGAAAAAGTTGATGTGGAACTTTTCCCCCTACCTTCCCCTTGGAATCCTTACATTTTGACATTTCACAATCATGTTTAAACAAGGGCATTTAAGATACAACTTCTGATTTAAGAGCAGCCTAGAACTGAAACAATATGTTATAGTATTTAACAGCCTTTGGGCTGGTACCACCACAGACTGAGATACAGTAGAGCATTACCAAGAGACTAAATCAAGTTTGGATTATGGAACAGTCACTGCCAGAGATGACTCACAGCACCTCAAAAAGGCTGCAAATCAGATAGGACAAAGAGCCCCCAAACACCACAATCAGCAGGTCTCCTTTTTTAATTATTATTATTATTTGTTTAATGTCTTCTCTATTTGGTAGTGAGCCAATGTGCCAGCTGGGTTTTTTTAATGTTATTCTTTACTTCACAGACACTTTTCCAGACAAGATTAAGCATCCCACAGCAACAAGAAGAAGCTGAAGTTTCAACATGACAATTCCCATCTGAAATTGTATTTCACTAAAGGCTTCACTGCACAGGGGGAAAGGAAGGCAAAGTGTTACCAATTGATTTTCTAGGATGGAGTACTAGTATGCAATGCTCTACTGCATCTTTAACAATTCTAACTTCCTTAAGGAAGCACTTGCAACATACCAAACACTATCCTCTCTCCCTCAAACCACCATTATCTGCAGGATGAAAAAATGTAGCCACACACAAACCATTTGTGGCTTACATTTACTGTTTCAGTATCTGCTATCAATAAACATTATAAAGGTTCTGCAGTGAGCTATAACACATTTGGGGGGGGATGTTTGGTTGTCTTGAGGTTTTTTTCCCCTAAACATAGGAAATGGAAAGTACCTCTGCTGGAATTGTCAACATTTGGGTATTTCCACGCCAAAGCCCTAGTTCACAACACACACAGGATGGGAGAACATGAAGGAAGGTCAGAACATTGCCCAGCGCATGACTGCCTCACTGAGCTAGAACAGAGCATGGCCGGGAATTCTGGCAAGCTGCATTCAGACTAGTACCCTAATTGCAGTAGCCCATCTTCTATCACAGAATCATAGAATAGTTAGGGATGGAAAGGACCTTAAGATTACCAAGTTCCAACCCCCTGCTATGGGCAGAGACACCTCACACTAAACCATGTCACCCAAGGAGGCTCTGTCCAACTGGGGCTGCTATGGGCAGAGACACCTCACACTAAACCATGTCACCCAAGGAGGCTCTGTCCAACTGGGGCTGCTATGGGCAGACACCTCACACTAAACCATGTCACCCAAGGAGGCTCTGTCCAACCCAGCCTTGGGATGGAGCATCACTACTTAGTAGTCTGCTCTTCCTCATCTCATGCAATGTAGTCTTTTATGTTCACCCACTATCACAGTCTGCAATTATTTTCACTAGCATGCACCCAGAACCGATGTAATTACAACTTCAGATAATGTTTTATGAACATTTGAACCACTGTTCACCATCAGAAATCAAAAGGTAACACTTAAGCACTTAAAGACTTGGGGTCACGCTGTAATGTAACAAGGAATAAATTACACTTTAAGGACATGCAAGCAACAAACAACAGATTTCAAGGATAACCAGTACACCCTGACAGATCCTTTAGGAAAGGATAAAGAAACCTGTACTATGAAGATTAGTGGCATAAAACTCCTAACAAACACTGCAGAGCACCACATCTTTTGCTGGTCCTTCGGTGCCTTTGCCCTTCCAAGAGGTTTACATCAGAACCCCACAGAAAGCATGGGAAGTGGGAGAAGCACCACTTAACAAAGAGCTTAGCAGACTATGTTGCAAGTCTTCTGTTCCCCAACACTCTGGCGAGCTGCTTCAGTTAATTTACCCACTGGATTTCAGTGAATTCCTTTCGGTACAGTAAGTGAGACAAGGCTATGTTAACTATTCCAAGCAAGCTTTTGTATCTTGTGCTTCGAAACAAACTGGAAGTTTGACTGAAGAGCCATCTTAAAGCCTACATACAACACGTCTGGGTTGTGCTATGCCCACTGTCAACTTCAGATTTTTAGCTATTACAGTTCTCCAAAACATTTGAACCTCTGGTATTCCCAAAAACTGGATTGCCAGAGGCAGAGAAGTAGCCTAATCACTGCATCTCATACATGGGCAGAACATGTGTGCCTCCTGTGTTCACTGTGATGATGTAGAGCACCTTGATCCCCTTCCCTGTCTCCAGCAGCACTGAAGCACTGCAGAAGCAAGGCACCTGATTTAAGTGACAACAGAAAGGCAGGGAGAGGAGAAACAGATCAGAAGCAACGCCAACATCCCAGGAAGGAGAAGTAGCTGAAAGTAGTAGTAGGGGAAGGGACAGCTTCCCTTGGTCAAGTACCAAGACCATACAGCTACCAATATCAGCATAAAGATGATATTTAAGTCTTAGCCTACAAAAGCACCAGGAGAAATACTGGAAGTTTAACACTTTTATTTCCTTTGCCCCTAAATGATTAAGATGACAATGCAATTTGAATTCATGTATTTCCATGAATATACAGTTGCTATGAGGGAACAATCGTAAATCCACCTATTGCTGATTTAAGCTTTGCAAACCACTTAGGAAGTACTACTATAGAATTCTGCAACTACAGGAACATTTAGTAATTGCAGACACTAACAGTGAACTCCTACCTTTGTGTTAAATTGGGAGTTACTAACTCCTAACTGAAGTGTACCAGAAATTGTGAGGATTTCACAGGGAACAAGTCTTGTTGGCACTCTTAATGGAAAATGCAGAGGACAAACTTGCTCTATCACTAAACCAATTACACAACAATCACGTTTTCTATCAGCATTAAAAGAGATTTTCTATCAACTTTACTACTGTGCTATCAAACACAGAAGTTTAAGCTGAAGACAGACATAAACAGGAGGAGTCCAAGTAAAACACACACATCCAACCTGACAGAGTGTTAAAAAAACAGCTTTTATTTTTTAATGCAAATGTACGCTATAGAACACAATGTTCCAATCCCTGATCCCTTATCTTTGGCAATGTTTGAGGTGCCATATTTTTTAGTAGGGAATACTAGTGACCAATGAATTTCCCACATTTTATCTACTATCTGACACTCAAAATGTTAAGTTCACACTATAATACTAATTCAAGTATTAGATCTGCACCTGTGTTCTCACCATTTCAGCACTAACAGATGAACAGAAGATTATTTTAAAATCAGAGTACAGACATAATGTAGATTAAACAAACATTGTGGACTAACTCATGCCACAGGTTAAATACCACAAAGGCTTCTCGATCTGACCAATCTGATTTGTACCAAGCAGTCATTTTGGTAAATGTTTCACAGTAAGATTCCAGACAGACAGTGAGACCAAAATTATTCTGGCATACATATGTATGCTTTACACTTATGTATGTAGAAAGGTAGATGAGAAAGCACCGTTTAAATAGCAGTCGAATATTACAAATATTGCCTCACCTGTATGATCTGCTGTAATAGTCACGATCATCATACCCTCTGTCATACCCTCTGTCATAGTAATCTCGTCGTCGTGAGCTGCCACTACAAGCAGTGAATGAGAATTACATTTAATAAAATATAAAGCATTAATATTGTTTGCAGTGCTTTTCAGTAGACATACAGTCACAGTTAAGTACACAACATTTTAACTGGGTTATATTACTACCTTGCATTCTCACAGCTGAAATGAGTGGGAAAGCAGGACTGCTCACATCAGTACAGATGGGAACAGAACTCCTTAAATAATGGCTTTTTAAAAATGCTTGAACTTTAAGACAGCTACTTTTCTCCTTGGTTTGAAACCTCTTAACCTTTTGGTATCACAGGCACACAAAGAATTCCATTCTGTGACAACTCTTCATTCACTTTTAACTCTCAGAAGGCTCCTTCTGGAAGAACTTTCCGATTAAAAAATAACCTGCAGTCTCAACAAAATATTAACTACATAACCACCAGTATCATAAGCTGAATGTTGTGGGAAAACAACTGGGAAATTACTTGGGGAAATATAAATTCTTTGCAACTTTTGACTTAAAGTGCACTCTGTGGACAGGCAAACTGTGCCACACAGCTGCTCAATTAGTATTTGTTCATTCATTCTTGAAAACTTGAGCTTGCAGAAGACATTAATATTTGAATTACATGTGGCAACAATTAAAAATAATTTAGAAGTTGTCAAAAATCTTACCACAGACTTATTTAAATGTTTAGATAAGTTATGTCTGGGCCATGTAACTAAGGAATCCAAGTTTCTGCTCACTGTAATCCAGGCTGGCCCTTGACCAGTCACTGATAAGCGCTATATAAATGAACCCCTTGTATCTGAAGAGGTGGAAAGATACACATTACTACTGATGGCTGTCACAAGACTATTAATCCTATCCCATACCAATTTGGAAATAAATCCACACAAGTAACTTACTAAGTGGGTCTTCCCATATAGATTCCAGGGGTTGGTGTATGAGGTCTTTTTGTTATGGAGAAGTCTACCCGGATCCTTCTTCCATCCAGCTCCATCCCATTGGCACGTTCCTTTGCCTAAACAGTGATAAAATACAACTGGCTTTAGGTATGAACTTTATTACCAATACAAGTTTCACTTCACACAACCACTGCTTCAAGTATTAAGTCCTAAAGTGGCTCAGGATGTACATCTTGAGTTTCACTTATGCCTCATACAAACACTGAAGATAAACTGCAAGACATTCTAGGCCAGCTGGATGTAGACGTTTGGTAACCACCCAAAATGTGACTAATACTGCGTAACTGTTTCAATATATCTGTTTCTAATATGATTATGAGGAACTTTCAAACATGCTTATGGAGATGCAAATGCTCCAACACACAACATGAAGCAAAGCCTTTAGAAGTTCACAAAGGAGCACTGTTAAGACTTTTTCCTCCAATACATCCTCAAAACCTACCATAATCTCAAATATAGTAGTATCCAAGTCGTAAGTAAATCTGATATAAAAAAAACACACAACAACCCACAAACACCAAACAAAAAAACAAACAAAACCCACTGGATTTTATGTCAATTAGCAGGATCTACATCCAAAACTCCAACCTAACATGGAAGCCTTCAAGCCAAATTTGGAAAAAGACTACAGTAAAGACTTAAAATAATGGAACTTATGCAGAATACAAGCCTAGTTACAGCCCATAAGCATGCTACTCTCCAACAGCTGGCCTGAGCATAGAATTCTATACCCATTAAGTACAGGATTCCCTGTTCACTCTGTAGCACAATTCCCTATTCATTCATTTATAAGCACAAATCCCATAATTTCTTATATTGAGGCTGACACATATAGCCTGGCCTTTTATTTTTCTGAAAAAGATTCCCCCCTGCTGCCCCTTCAGACTGAAGCACTAGAGGTCAGCAGAAGGCACAGCAGCACTCCCAGAGAGCGCCTAAAAGGCTGCCTGGTCTACTCTGAACATGCCTGTAAAATCACATTAGGAAAGAACTATTGTAATTAAAACAGAGCCTGTGTTTCTATTTTCTTTTCCTTATTGGCATAGTTTGCACTATGGCTAGCCTGAAGTTTGCTTTTGTGAATTACAAAACAGCTCAGCCTGCACAGGGACCAGTATTCATGCCTCTCCACTCTCTCCTCTGACACCCAGTAGATCTTTTGAACTAGGACCCCTACATTTATTACGAGGTGCCTAATATTTCTTAGGCCCCAAGTTTCTCCAGGCTATAGAACATACATCTTAGCATCTGAGAACACAGCAATCATTCCATATAATACTGTACCCCAACCTACTTCCTTAGCATCTTCAACGTTTTCGAAGTACACAAATGCAAATCCCCTTGAACGCCGAGACTGCTGATCATACACAATGGAAACATCAGCAATGGGACCATACTTGGAGAAAACTTCTCTCAGATCTCTTTCTGTGGTGTACAGGCTCAATCCAAACACGCCAAGACAACAATTTGGGTCAGGATTTGCCTAAAGGAAGGGGCAGACAGATATTAGAATAAGATCTTCAACACAAAACAAAGATACTGCTGCAATTCAGGCTGGGTTAATCTGCTAATAGACACTATTACAGTTAAGCTTACAGACTCACAAGCCTCCTTTCACAAAAATCCTTTGCATTTCTCATGCGCTGTGCGAACTACAGTTCCAGCACATAAGTACTACATTTAAAAGAAATTACCCTCCAAAGGCTAACTTATGACTATTGACTGTGGAGATTTATATATACACACACAGACTTGGATCACATCTTCATCTGTGTTAGTTACCACTTCCTCCCCCACTTCAGTACAAACCACACCACGCTCAAGCTGCCCAAGTCTGCAAAGCAGCTAAACGCAAACTGGTTTGCATGCTCATTTCATAAAGATGCAATCCAAATAGCTTTTAATGAAATGAAATTTTTGTTTCCCAGGTTTTCTAATCAAGAAAAATCACAAATGTTTCTCCCCCCGTCCTTTGCTGCATGTATTCACTCATTTATTACTGTGGGTATAGTGACAGCTGTTGACACTGGAATCACTTCTAAAGGCATCTGTTAAAAAAACAGACAAACAAGACACCCCCACCCCACAATCCCCAATGATCTTCCAGAGATCCATGGCTTATCAAAAGCTAAATGACCATTAAACTCCACAATATCTTTTAAATGGACCTGAAGCAGAATGTTTTTCTGGAAAACCCCAACTGAGTGATTACAGGAGGTATTTAGGACTATGCAAGAGCCATCTCTGGTAACAGACATACCCTGTTTCCAATATGACGTCTGCGAGTAGACATGGGTGAATGGCTGTGACTGTGCCGCCGCCGATAATCCCGACTGTAAGACCTACTTCTGGATCTCCTGTGAGAGCGGGAGCGAGAGCGCGATCTTGTGTAGTGTCTACGGGAACTCCTCCTTGATCTAGATCTGAGGGAAAAAAAAGAAAGGTACAGTGTTGGGTTTTTTTAACCCTTCAAAAATTAAACCAGATGTTCACACACAAAAAGAGCCATTTTCCCACAAACCTGCAGTACCACATGATTTAGCTGTAATCAATTTAGTCACTACTCTCAAGGACTGTGCGCTAAATCTTTACAATTAGATTATTGTAGATGCTTAGAGCATTCCTATTGCAGAACAGGAATCTCAACTTCCATTTTAATTAGCTTTTAATTCCCCTATAATTTGTAACTTTCTCCAGCGAGACTATCTCGGTTTCATACAGTATCTTCACAGCATTTACACTAGCATTTAAGTAAAAATAGCTGGGGTGGCTTTCTTTCAAAGACTTAACACAAAAAGAGAACAGGAGTAGATATGACGTAACATAAAGCATGCAGGATTGCAAAGATGAACACTTTGTTTATTCTAGCACCCAGACTAGCACTGCTTTTAGTGTCACTGAAAAGCAAACATACTTTTTACACAGTGCATAACTACAAACATAGAAGTCTGGCAAATGCCCCCAAAACAGAGCTTAATACAATTGAAGAAAAGCTGTAGTAGCCTTATTTACCTTCTGGTATTTCAAAACCTATTTCACATTAGGTGTTCATGAATGTTAACACGTTCACATTTCAAGTGTATTTAGGCAAAGGTGCTCACCAATTACAGCCTAGGCCTCAAAACAGTTCCAGAAACATCTTCTGACAGCACTAGGTCTGTGGACATGAGGTTCTGAAACACTCTGATTCCTTCTCCTAAACCTTTAGCCCTCCCAACACAATCTTAGTTGAAAAGTTGGACAGGCACTTAAATTGGAATGTAATGCCTGACTTTGGCCTGCTGACGGCAGTCACTGAATAATCTGCATTCTACACAACTGCAAAGGAAATCGCTGCAAGGCTAAGAAGTGCAATAAACAGTTTCACATTCAAGGGCTCCTAATCATAAATTGTTAATCTTCAGACTTCTGTTTACATCTTAAATGTCCTTCCTCTAATTTGTGGAAGCCAAGATAGTTAAGTACTGACCAAAATCATAAACTACCATCATTGATCAACCACGTTTCACAGTACCACCACCACCACTACACTTGGCATGAATGAAGCTCTCAACCTGCACCCTTTTTTACTCCTGAGCATTTACCAGCTTCTTCCACAGTCAGGATTTCTCACTAGCTAAGTGGCATCAGACAGCCAAACTGCACATATATACTCTGTACATTACTGGCCTCCTTAAAAAAAATAAAATGCCTTCAGCCCTGTCTGAAGTAAGCCAGCTAAGTTTTGTCTTTAATTTGAAATATATATATATATATATATATATATATATATAACCAGGAGAAATGACTTCAGCATGCCGCATTACAACACTACTAACTACATATTTAGAAAGATCAAGGTTTTTCTTTTTTTCCACAGAAAGTAAAAAAAAGAGAGAACTTCCCTGAGGCAGGAAAGACAGCAATAATAATAACAACAGTTCAACAGATACAGTCACATTTCAACTGCTGACATAGAAGAAAAAAGGCAAACACAGAACTGATGGTTCCAGGTAACAGAATACACTAATTACACTGAACAAAATCTAGACACTTCTAAACCAGGTTATCATTATGCAAGAGAACAAGGCTCATTTTATATAGGCATTGTTTATATTGCTGCCTTAAATGTCATACTGCTGTTATTCTGCTTTATTGTCAAGTCACCACAGCTGACAGCTCCTATTCCTTTGTTAAGAACTGTTTAGACTTCACAGTCAACCAAAAATAACAAGCTTGCTATGCTGCTAATGAAAACATCAAAAAAGCAGGTTTTTTAATCAAGCATACCCACGCCCCAAATGATAAATATGCCAGGACACAGATTTGTTCCCAAATCAAAGTTTAATTCATAAAGCTGATCACTCAGAAGTACATTTGCAACAGAAACCACCAAGAAATATAAAAGTTCTCACAAGGTTGTTTCTCTGGTGAGAGCCAGAGTTAAATGACTTGTTTGTGATCATATTCAAACATGTGACAGCACTGAAGAGAGGTAAATATATTGGTTCTAAGTATGTGCCTTGACACAATTCTGCCCAAATCTGCTAAAGAACACACTCCAGCTCTGCCAAAGGCTGGAAATACTGGAAGTATATATACTACATTTTCAAGACAGCTGTTAAATGCTCAGGAAGCTGTGGCAGACATAGCACCTCCTTCTGTTCATCAAAAACTAACAAGTCAGTTGCCAGGGTACTAGTTAAAGGTCAATTGATCATAAATGATTTGCTAGGTCTCTTGCAAACTCTCTATCTTGTATTTGCTTCTTCCAGCATTTTAGACAATTTATGACTGCATTCTCATACAGTACTATTCTGCAAGTAAGAAACATGGTGCTTTAAAGAATACGCATCCCTATGGTTGTGGATTAAGCTGCAGAAGGACATGCTGGGCTGGGTCCTGACTGGCTTATTACTTTAAAATTTGGAAATGTTTTGCAGTCTCCATCCTCTGAGGTTTTCAAAACCTAACTGGATAAAGCAAGCCCCGAGAACACAGTCTGAGCCCAGAGCTGACTCTGCCTTGAGCAGCATTTTGGACTGGGCTCTTCCTGAACTGTCCAATGAATCTCTTGCTATTGGCAATTCCAGAGGTCACTCCAATTTCACACTCTGTAAACTGGTATTACTCTACCAAGTATTTAATAATTTAACATATTTGTTCTTGTACTACAGGGATTGCCAAGTACATAATTTAAAAATTGTGACTGTGCCTGAAATGCACCAGAAAGAAACTCCAAAGCCCGTTCCTTTGCTATCAAAATTTCCCAGGTATTTTCCTTCTCACAAAAGGCTTTCAAATGGATCACTTTGATCTTGCAAGGAGATCTAAACATGGTATTTGATAGCATTTTCCATCATGCGTGACTGCTAATAGCACAGTATGTTCCAGTGTTGTCATTCCCCAGCCTGACCCCCAGGCTTTGGCACGCCTAATCCTTTGCTTACACACATAAGTAGTATACTGTGAACAGCTCATCTGGAAACCCCACTGCTGAAACCCACATTTTCTAACCTGAATGCTTACGAATGAGTAAAGCAATGAACACATTCATTTCTATAGCCAGCACTCAATTATATAGACTATTTAAAAAAATAACATCATTCACCCATTTACAGGCTTTGTTACCTTTCAATTCTTTATTTAATAGGCACATCTTACATGACACACCTGCTAAAGCCAAGGTAAAGTGGCCAGCAGTGATGTTTACAGTCTTATAAAATATGCTGATAGTCTAGAAATGTCTCAGTTATGTGTCTTAGCAGTTTTAAGAGAACTCTGCCACTGCACACAGCTAGTTCAGCAGGTAACGATAGGTAATACAGTAGTGAAGACATTTTCAGAGTGTGCATTTGCATCACCACGTAACAAGTAAAATAAGCAAGCTACTTTCTCCACAACCTTGTTGAGAGCAAGGAAGGCCGTCTAATCTTTAAAGCTTTCCAGCCTGTTAAATTATTATTATTTAAAAGGTCAGACAAATGTCTGTTGAGATTCACACTTCTCTACTGCTTCTTTTTCATGTCCTGCTGAACCCAGGACAACCATTAAGTACTCCAGAAACACCATTGTTTCCAGTAAGAAAACATAACACATTAATGTGACCTAACTAAGATCTTGAGAAAAAATAAGATCTAGAATTAGTAGTGCTTCATGCTCAGAAACCAGCCATTACTATAAGACTTAAAAAGCATGCCACTTCCAAATTGTAGCAGCAAAGATACATGTCTATGTAACTTGTACAGGAAAAGCTGCAGGAAGATCTAACTCGATAGTTCCACTTTTCAAATCCTGAAACCAAACATGCCCAATGTCCACAGATCACCAGTTATCTCTGGAAACAAAATTGGGCTAAATCTGACTTCAGTTCACCTCCGACATAATGATCTGACTGTGAAGAGGAGGAAGAGGTAAAAGAAGTAAACTCACCTGGATTCAGACCTGGATCTAGATTTTGACCTGGAACGCCTGGAATCCTCCTTAGATCGAGATCTTGCAGGGGTGTGCCTCCCCGACTTGCCAGACCCATGAGCACTTCCGCTTCTGGAAGCAGAACGGGATTCCTGCACGCAGATATTGAAAGCCTAATTTGTACACAATTTCTTGTTTACCTGAGGTCTGTAAACAAGCTCCAGTGAAATAAAAGGTAAAAATTCACATCTATGTGTCCGGGCAGTTGGCATTAGAACTGCCTAGATTTTTTTTAAGATTTTTTTTTTTTTTTCTTTCCTGGTAGACACTTCTTTACCCTGCATATACTTTTGCTATTAAACAGATAATGCATGCATGTTTAGCAAAATATACAGGGACACATAAACAGACTAGTAATTACTTAGCGTAGTGCTTTCAGATTCCAGATTACTTCTTATCTTAACTTCATTTTTATTCCTTTTCTTCATTCTTCCGTTTCAAATTCTGACTTCTTTCATCTTCCCCACTTCACACAAATTGCTCAATATTCTACAAGTGGGACTTCTGGTCTGATAATTAGCATGCATTCACTTTCTTTTTTTTCAAATTTCAGCTTCACTTATTCCTGAGCTTCAAATAATTCTCATTTATAAAACTTGTCAAATGGCGACTTCCGCATTTTCCTTCTTCAACATTAACCTTAATAGAAAAAGAACAGGATGAAGAATATTTAAAAACTCCAGGATAAAATCTAGTGCCAAAACTGAAACTAGAAAAAAAAAAATTTTGTGGACTTTTACTATTATATGCAGTTCAAGAATTGAATCTACCAAATGCCCTACTATTTTATAAACATTCAGTCAATTCAGTTAGTACTAAGTAACTGAATTAGCTATTTATTCCTGCATTTAATAGCAAATGCACAGTGGATCAACTGAATTATCAACTAATGAATTCTAGCATTAGGAAAGTCAAAATACTTCACTGTCAGCCACATACTTAAGACAGAATCAACAAGAAGTGACTTAAGTAAGATCCCTAGCGCGGCCACAGGTGACTGAAGTGCTTTTGGAATGCAGAAAGCACAATGCATTTGGTCCTTACTTTTTGGGACATTCTTGCAGTTTAGGCTTAATTTGAAGGTTTATGATCACACTCACGCCTACTCTGCCTGCACAAGCGTATTTACACATGCAGGCTTCATGCTTCGAAGTAAACCATCATTTTCCACTGAGTGAAAATTCAATTCTGTGCAATATGCACAAACATTGTTATACAATAACATCCCATCTCCTCTACTATTTATTAGAAATCATCTCTGGTAATGACATACCCTAATTAGCATTTTCAGCTTCTCTTTTTTTAATCAGTATATTAACTTCAGTCACATGGCCAAAACACTCAGTTTGAGCATGCTAGAAGGTATTATTTCCAGATATTAAGAAAAAATGTAAAATCAGCACCAGAATTTTATTCCCCTCCCCCCGCTAAAAACCACACAATTCTAAATTTTGTGTCGATTCTGATCAAGAATGCTCACTAACACCGCTAGGGTACCAGAAAATAAAAATGACTTCTTAAATCTTTGTAACATCTCTTAAACCTGAACATTCAACTCAAAGACATTCTCTACTAAGCATTCAGAAACTCATCTGCTGACCCCAAATTCAATCATGCTTAAACCACCTCCACACAACTCAAAACAGTTTAACCATTTACAATTGCCTACCATACAATACTGGGGGGACACAACTTGCAGGATAAAGCTGATTTTCAATTAAAAGAGCAACAAAGTCAAGGACGTTCTTCTCTGTCACAATGCCTACAGAGGTGTTCTAAACTGTAGCACTCTCATATACTAATCTGCAAAGGGCAGTGCAACAGAACTAAGTTATTTATAACAAATTTAACCTAAACCCAGTATTTAATGTATTAATTTAATCATAATAAATCTTCAACTCTTTAAAGAGAGTTAAAGCAAGATTGAAGAAGGGCTAAAAAAAAAAAACACCTGTTCTTCATTTGAGGAAAAATGCAAAACCTAACTCTCTTGACACACTCAGGCCAGACTGAAGAAGCCATGTCCAAATACTGGTGGTCTAATACTGAAAAGGATGCAAGAAGTAATGCAGGATGGGATCTTGCCTGTGAACATACCCATACCCTTTTCAGAGTTTTAGAAGTCTCTTGACATCTTTATCTTCAATCTATTTTATAGGATTATGCCACTTCTTTATTACTTCTTGGCTTAAAGGAATTCAGGTCACCTTATCTGCTCCAGACATTACTAAAAATAGTAACAAGACCTAAAATTTCAAAGTTGTTACTATCCCCACCCAAGGAAATCCTTCCCACCCAAAATTTCAAGCACCGTGAGCTTGCAGCACTCCAAATTTCCTTTACACCCCATTATACTGCACCCATTGAAGGCTCCCTTAAGCTATTCTCACAGCTCACTTCAATTGGAGAGTTTATTTGGGTTTTTTTACCACCTGTAAAAACATCAGTTGCTCCTAACAGCTTTTGTTTTTCTATTTTTTGCTCTTTCGCTTTGTGTGTTTTAAGGTTTGTTTTTTCTTAAATGCCGAAGTAGGGTCTCATCATGACACACAGAAGACAACAGAAGAAACAATCTTTTTATCCTGTCTGTATTGAAACACTACTGGTATGCAGACAAAGACTGGTTTTCAGTATTAAATAACTGGTTTTTAATAACCTTGAGACTGTGAAGCGTGGATTTTAAAAACTACCAGATCCCTTGATCTTTACCAACAGTTCTCCCCCTTCATCAGGCATTAGTGGAATTCAGGTGGAAGCTCTGAAGTCCAGGTCTGTGGTTTCCAAAGTATTCTTTCCATAGTTAAAGCATATTAAAACCAAAGTATAATACTATAGGGATGGTAATTTTAACACCTCTAAGCACATTCATCTACTCTATGAGCAGAGAATGTCACAGCAGGAGGATTATTTTGGGGGTAGTAGATAGAAAAGACTTCCATGGACAGAAGCAGCTGTAAGGTACGCAAGGACCATGTGTTCACACTTCTGAGATCCAGTTTTTCCCATGGGAATACAAGCTACAGATTTCAGTTAATAATGTAAGATACAAGCAAATAAAATTAACAGTATCTTTAAAAAAATCCTAAATCCCTATGAACTTACGTATATCCACTTGTTTTCCCAAAGTAAGGTGCAGACACATTACACATTATCAAGTCTGGAGACAATTTATTCAAGGTATAATTGCGAAAATTTCACATTCCTTCAACCTCTCTACTACTTAATTCAGCAATCCATCCAACAGAGCTTTTGCCTCTCTGCCCCTGAAGCACATGATCACCAGATCAGATCACTGCTGGGGGCAGGTGGGAATCCACTCAGGAGGGTAAGCAGAACAGCCCCTTTCTGCAACAGTTTCCAACCTCTGCCAAAAAGGAACAAGAATGTATTTTGAAAAAGCCCAGAATCAAGCTAACAGGCCAGGAGCAAGGAAGCCCAGCTGCCTCCGCATTGACCCTGAGGGCTCATTCAGTGCATCAAACTGGCAGGAAACGAACCCGTCAGCAAAAAGCAGCCAAACTGCCTTCTTACAGCTTAGGGCACTGAATCAGCCACCAAGAAGTCAGATCAAGTGCCACTTGATGAAGGGGGAACACAGAGGATGCCCTAATCTTTTAGTGGCATCAAGCTATCAGGTTACTTCTAACCTTCTCAAACTGTTTCTTCAGACCTTCCTCCACAGGTTACTAATAAAAACAGAATTTCTGGAAATGTATGTGTTAAGTACCTTGTAAGCAGATTTACAAATTAAGCATTTATACTATTCAAGTTACTTTGATCAAAAACCAAAACTATGTTTTTTGACCACCTGACTACCATATTAAATAGTTTCTGATCAGACACATACCAAGTAATCACCATCACTATTAACCAACAGATAGGATGAGACTCACTATTCTTCCTTTAACTAGTCTTTCCAACCCTTCCATGCCTGGATCACATGCCCTTCAATGATCGCAATTTCAATGAATGAAATCAAAATAAAAGTTACTTAGGAAAACGTGGCAATTGTCACAGCATTCTGACAGTATTTTAAGCATGCTTTTGTATCTGAAGTATTGGCAGCATTCAACAATTTATAGTATTTTCAGTTAAAAAAAAAAAAAAGCAGCTTCTAGAGTTTAATCCCAGTATGGAGTATAAACTGTAAAAGAGAATTTGACCAAGGATATTCTTCTCTCCTCCCCCCTTTTTTTTCCTCTTTAAACTGTTACATAAGCCCATTTGAGTTTGGGATGCTGTCAAAATAGCAATCCCATTACTTGTGAAAGCACCTGGTATTTCTTCTTCATCCCCAACGGTGATTAGAACTCCTGGCTACACAATCAAGTCAAGCCTGCAAAGCAATGCAGCTGGAAACTTACCAGATCTGACTGACTATACAAACACTAGCACAAGGGAAAGAGCAGGAACATGTTTTCAAGAGCACAATTCTTCTTGGCAGCACAGACTTGGAACAGCTTAACAGACAGTTGTAAAGTCATATCCTAGATTATTTATCCAAACACTGTTTCTACTTTGTAGAGACCTTAGTGTTTCCAGCTTGAAAAAGTAGAAAGCCATTGACTCAGTAACATATAAGCCTTCAATAAGCAAAAATCACCATCAGTAACACTGTCAATAGAATCTGCTTATGATTCATGAAGTTCAGGCATAACTCATTTTAAGCCTTGGTGAAGACTGCCTGCACATGATGGGGCTTTTCTTAAAATAAAAGTATAGAAAAGACAAAATAGAAAAGCAGGTGGGACAGCAATTGCTGTCCTATCATACCCTTCACAATCATTGTTTCAAAGACATTTTGCTCTTAACATTTCCACTCATTCTGATTGAAAGCTAAACCAATCTCCTAGTTAGGCTACCATCTTAAAGTGGTAATCTAACTGAAATTAAACCAATTTAAAAAAAGCTAACACATAGAAATCCACCTTGAGCAAGTCAGAAGTAATACTCCCTCACTAAAATTACACTAGTTGTACGAGTGACATGATGACATTAATGAAAACAAAATACTGGGGGTGGTAAGAGTTTTAGTCCAGGAGTCTTTAATCCCTGCCTTTCAGCATTCATTTTCATCTGGCATTTTTAGCTTCCTTGAAACTGTATTTTTCTAGCCTAACCTCCCTTGAAGTAGAAGCAGTCATACTAATAAAACTTACTACAGTGAATCTGAAAGAGAAAGCGCCATATTCAAAGACAGCCATTGCAATTTTGTGCTCAGAAGTATTATATTTTTTTTGCCACTTCGAGTGAAAGTTTAAAATTTAAACTACTGCTGTACTCATGTGTTGTAGTAAAAATTAAAGATCCCAAAGGAAAACAAGACTGATTCACTAAAGCAAAAACAACTACAGATAATCTGTACTGCAGACGTACATCACAAATGTGAAGCTTAGCAAGTCATCTACTGCAGAATTAGTAAAATTCCATCCAGGTAGTAAGATCTTGCAGTAACTATGCAGGTATCACAAAGCAAAGAGACTGCCCTAGCTCTGAACACGTTCAGTTTGAGGTTTAACCCTTCGACTACTGCCATCACACCTAAATTAGAGACCAAGCCACCTAGATGAAAGGCTGCAACTGCATCAAGAAGCAGGGCTAATGTTTCACAAAGCGAGCGCGAGAAGGAGCAAATCGGCGCTCTATTTACAAGGTATCTCACCCAAAGCGAAATGCAGTGAGCGTACAACAAAGGCTCAGACTACTACCGGCCCAGGATGTTGCCTACCCTGACCGGGCTGGTGGAACAGAAAAGGCACCACGGCACCAGCTGATCCAGCCGCAGCCCGGCTGCACACTCGGAGGGGCCTGAAGGGCCGTGTACTCACGGCGGCAGGCAGCCGGCCCCGCCACAGCCCGTGTCCCGCCACTCTCGCAGCAGGGCCGCAGCAGCCGGGCCGCAGAGAGACGCGCGGGCGGACCTCGGCCATTTTGTCCCAGTCTCCGGCGCGCCCGGTCACCAGCCCAAGATGGCGCCGGGCAGACACCACGGAACGCGCCGACGGGCGGGCAGCTACAGCGTTCCTGCCGCCCGACCTCCCCGCCGGAGGCCTCCTCATCCGCCACCTGCTCCGCCCAGGCCTCAGGACGGGGACGCGGCGGATGCGGGGGGTGAGGAGGGAAAGCACTGCCCGGAGAGACGGAGGAGCGTAGTGGGGGGGGAAGACGGGACGCGGCCGGGCAGCGCGCTCAGGCTCCATGTATTACCCGCTCGCCGTAGTTCTGCTCCCCGCTGTCGCTCATCGTCCCACCGCCGCCGCTCCCCGCCGCTACCGCCGACACAACCGTCCCCGCCGCCTGCACGCTCCGCAAAGGAAGTGACGAAGCCCGAGCGCGGGCTCCGGGGCCCGCCCCCTCCGCCCATGAGGGAAAGTTCCGCCCTCCCCAGGCGAGGGAGGGTGCTGCGGTTGCCGGCGGCAGCCCGTAGGGGATCGGTAGCTGCTCGGTGCCGGGAGCTGGGTCACGGGCGGACCCCTTCACAGCCGAGTGGAGAGGCCCTGCCTGCCCGCCCGGCCAGGGAAGGCTGCGGCCAAGGCCGGGGTCTTCTTACACAGGTCGTGCCGGTATAAAAACCTCGCTGTGATTGCAAGAGGAGGAGATGGCCAAGAGTGTTAAAGCATTAGCTTAGTGCAGGTCGGGAGTGAAGATCGGGATGTTTCTACAGTGCCCAGGCGAGGGCAGCATAGCATCACTGAACAGTCATCGCTGCTAGGTGCTGCGATTGTGCCTTCCCCTGCAAGGAGCGACATCAAACGCCTTTTCCTTCGTCGCTCCGGCTGCCGCGTTTGGTTTATTTCACCTTGGCAAGACAGGCAGCACGAGTAAAGCACCATCGTCCACAAAAAGTCAGCGTGGCTTCTGATTGTGCAGGTATTAAACGAGGACGCCCAAATGGAGTGGATTGCTGTGACCTAAAATACACCAACTTAAAATACACCCTTTCAGTTTAAGCAAAACGCTGACCTAGTGCTCTTGATGCCACGGCACTGCACAAGGGTTGAAGTGGGGAGACAGGAGTCATCACACCCAGTCAGCACATCCCAGTGCATCGGTTACCCCATGCACTGCTGCTAAAGGATGCACTCCCACTCCGTGGCAGCTCCCATAACCATCTGACACACCAGCAGCAGTTATTTCCCTTCACTTGAACACATTCCCTCTAGAGTGAGAGTTGGGATAATGCTCTGCACACACCTGTATTTGTGCTGTTAAATGAGCAGCGAGGTAGAGAGTTGAACACCTCGGTACCTATTCAAACAGTGGCTTTTTTTTTTTTCATTCCCAGCGCTATTTGCCACACATTTAAGAGGTAGCAGCAACGTGCTGGAACGGTAAAGCTGAAAACACCAGACAGCAGCTTGGTGGCAAGCTGTGGAGACAGCAGTTTGATAGCTTTAAACACTGGTGAGCTGTGCTGTGTGGCGAACAGCTCCGGTGCTGCACATTTCCAGGTGATGGCTTCTGAAACGCCCAGGGGGATTCCAGCTCTGTTTCCATTAACTTTGACACTCACAAGAAGAGACAAGCTGGAGGCTGCTTGGCCGCCCTTCTGCCTCCCAGCCCCAGAACACAAAGATAAATTTATCAACCAAAGAGGAAGGCTTTTGCAGCTTTTGCTGATATAGAGATACTGCAAGTTTTTTTTAATGCCACTTTTCAATGGCTTCATCTCCATGCTTTGCTGCTGTTACAGCACAGTCAGTGATACACTGTGCTGTACAAAGTCACAAGCAAGAGTGGCAGGATGGAGACACAGAAAGCACCATGTGTTTATTGAATCATTGAGGACTGGAGCTCAAGAAAATCAGTTTTTCCTATATGCTGCTTATAACAGAAGGGAGAAAAGGAGCTTCCTGTGCTGACAGGTCAGGGAGAGACATCTGAAATGAGCTGCCAAAGCTGGCTAACATTCAGGAGCATGACACTGAAGTTATGGGTTCTCTTTAGAAATCATATCGCTCCTCCAAAACATGCAGCAAAGAGTTCTGATTGATGGTACCTGAACTCTACAGGGTTCTCCTTTGGTTCGCTTTTGGTGCAGAAAGTTTAATGGCATTTATTTTCCATCCCCTTGGTCTATATAAAGCTAAGTAATCCACAACCCTCAGAGAGGGTCCTGTGACTGTGAAAGCAAAACCTCTGCTGACAACACACCGCAGAGCCAGGCATTGGTCTGACCACCCGTCCTCAAGCTGTTCCCCTTCAACAGCAGGACTGAGGAGACACCACTGGGGATAAACTGGCTGAAGTCTGCTAGGAGCAAGGGCCTCTTGCAGCTCCGCTGTCCCCACGGCTCATGAAGATGCTCTGAGCAGGAGAACAGGGCACAAAGGAACACAGCCGATCAGAGAGTGCTCTGATCCTTTCTATTCATAGTTAAACTGGGTCAACGAAGAGCTACTGAAGCAATCCTACCTTTCAGCAAACATCTGACCCCACTGTTCTTCACCTCTGCAACAGTGACGCAGATGTGTGAGATGATCCCAAGGAGATTATCTCCCTGCTGCGGGAGGCACTCAGAGATGCAGCTCTTCCTTTCTCTTCATTTGGATTACGCAATTGGATTCAAGACATGCTTTCTGGTTTGCTTGGGGCAATCCCAGCTTGTGTTTTCACAGCATGAATATGCATTTGTGGAACTCCTGACTGTGTTCTCCACAGCCATATTCCTGGCAGAGGTTATAAAAGCCACTTGTGCAGTTAAAATAACAGTCTCACACATGCTACATCATCTTCAGAGTCAACTCATTCCTCAGAAGAGATCCCTCAAAATCTACAGACAGCTTAGGTCACGCACTCTTAATTTCAGAGCATGCTTAGACATGACTTGCACTCAAGCAGTGACTGTCCTCTCTGTGCTCATCTGCATTTGCTCTTTCAGCAAGTGTCTAATGCTGGTTCACTGATTATTTTTGAGCTGGCTCGCTCCCTAATGTGGTTTCTGTGTGCTCCAGCAAGCGTGTTGGCGTGCTGTGGGGGCAAGGAGAGGCAGAGGGGGAACAGGGAGCTGTCAGGTTGGCTCTGCAGCTGCAGACATATTGGAATCAGAGTGCGCCACTGAAAACAAAATAAATCTTTTCATTAATTTCAGAAGTGTGGGGTGTCTTTTTTATATAGCCTGCAATTCAGTAAGCAAATGCCAAAGAATTAGCACCCCCTGAGTAAGCATTGCTATTTGTCAAAATAATAATTTCTCCTCATCTTGCATTACTCATGGGAGTGGAGCCTGGGGAGCTCGTGGTGGGAAGATTCCACCTCTGCAGTGGAGCCGTGAATGATCTGATAGGTGACACTGCAGGGCTGCAAGTGGGATGTGGACATGCCATGGGTTGTAGGTGATCCCACACAGCCCTATGAGACCATGTTGTTCCAGACTTGCAGCCCTTTTGGTTTTTCTCTCCAGGCTGCTATTGTTTAAGCTCTCTCCGTTCTAAAAGACCGGGGAGGAGATCTCACTGAGATTATTAGTGATATTACTTGCTGTATGAAACTGGGGATTAAAATCAATTTAATTAACCTGAATGAAACAATCTTTCGCACATGGTTCAATTTCAGGAGAGGTGTCAGAACAGGCAGAGAAGTTTAAACAGACTGACCTGTACCTGTGTACGCAAGGTAAGTATAAGAATCTCACTGTAGCACCTACAGAAGATTCTTTAATCTACTTAACCTGTTTCAGGGACAACAGCGAAGCAATGCATGGCTGGGGCTGGGACTGTACAGGCAGGCAGGTGAAAGCATGCTCTGGTGTTTCTGTATTCCACTGGAAGTGAAAGCAGATGAGGATTTGGAGAAGGAAAGTACCACAAAGCTGTCTGTATATGCTGCTGTTCTTCCTGCCATGCTGAGGATTTGGATTCTGCAGCTGCCTTCACCGACACATGGCCCGAATCCTGTGTCTCAGCACCACCTCCCATCAGTGGGCCTGTGCACAGCTGCACGCAGAACAGGAACTCCAAAAGTTGCTTCAACTGCCTCCAAGGCTTATTTTTGTATAGTTTATATATATACAGATGTAGGGGTATATATACATGAGTAGATATATACATGAGTAGATCTATATACACATGTATATATATCCCTACGTGCCACTTATAAGCCATATATAAGATATAGGTCATATCTGTGTTACATATAAATACATATCCATGAAGGTGTGAATGTCTGTATGAAACATTCTCTAATGAGATGTAATCAAATTAATAATCAAATCTACACGCAAGTATGAGGCAATTAAACACAACTGCACATCAGGGATCTTCAGGACACCCAGCCTGCTGCAGGCAACACAGCCCAATCCAGAGCTGGCAGGGCTCGAGCAGGAGACCCAAAGGGTCGGACGGCTGTCAGCGATGGCCAACCCGGCGGTAGGCCGGGCAACGCACGGGAAAGGTAGGCAATGCAATGCAAGGCGTGCTGAAGCTCCAGCGCCCAGCCCAGCGCCGTTCCTCCCCGGCCGGCAGGAGCCTGCGCGAGTGCCGGGCTCCGCCTCTGGCGACGGCGGCGCCGGGGCCCGGCCCGGCCCGGCCCGGCCCGGCCATGAGGCTGACGCGGGCGGCGGTGCTGGCTCGGGCCAAGGCTGTTGCGCTTGATGGTGTCCGCCGCCTTAACTGCTGGTGGGCGCCGACGGGAACGGCCCGGGGCCGTGCGGGCCCGGCGGGAGGCGGGGCGGGCAGCTGGGCCTGGGCCTGGCGCTGGGCCTGGGGAGGGGGTACAGGCAGGGCTGGGAGCGGGGAACACATGGAGGGCTGTGTCAGATGAGCTTTGGTGGGTGCAGAGCGGGCTTGGGGACAGCAGGCGGGCAGCTGGGCCCTGCCGTGCTCCCGGTGACCCGCTGCTCTCTTCCCACAGGGGCAGCCACTTGACGGATGTAAGTACTGCGTGCCCGCTCCCATCCTGCCGGGAAGAGCCAACGAGGAGGAGGCACCGCGGCTCTGCGCTGCTGTCGTGGAGCCCCAGCCCGTGCCCATCAGGCTGGCCATAGCCTAGGCCGGCAGCCGCAGAGGGGGTGGGGTTAACAGGGCGCTGAGGAAGGCACCAGCCTGGGTTTGGGCTGGCTTGCTGCCAGTGGGCTGCAGTGATTTTCAGGGTTGATCGGCATCTCAAACTAAACAAATCAAAATCAAAAAGCCCATGCAGGGATGCTGGTGTTTCCAGAGAGCACTTGGAACCAATTCCTCACCAAGGCCCTGCGTGGACCCTTGGAGACCCTGAGCCCTACGTTGTCTGTTTGGGACTTTGGATGATGTACTCTTGTTAGAGGGCTGTCGGGGGTAAGAGGGATCCTGCCCTGTATGTGCTGGCTGGAAGCCTGTGCAGAGTTGCTGG